AGCGTGTAATCGCATTTGGCGCACGCGGCGCCAGCAGACACCAGGAATATCAGAAACATGAGCCGGTCGCTTGTCCAGGACTCGATGTCCCCCTGCTGAAGCAAGCGATGATTTATTGCCTTGCCCGGGAAGTGTCTGGAACAAGGCGCATGGCGCGAAGCTTCTCTGCAGCCTTGAGTATGTATGCATTTATGTATGTATGCATGTATGTATGTATGTATGTATGTATGTATGCATGCATGCATGCATGCATGCATGCATGCATGCATGTATGTATGTATGTATGTATGTATGTATGTATGTATGTATGTATACAGATCTATATCTAAGTATCAATATATATATATGTATATGTATCAAGGTGTGTATATATACACACACGACCTCTGAACATACATACAACAACCCGGCATGTCACCATCACCCCCATTGGAGGGGGGAGGTATACTTACGCTTTCGGCCCCCCTGATGGCCGAAGAGGCCCCCAGGAAAACTCCACAATGCGACCAGACGGCCCGGGGAAACCCTGCCCCGGGGCTTACATCGGGCTCCCCAGACGGCAAAAGGCATTTCCTAGACGGCTTCATAATGGCCCGAAGCGGCCCCAAAACGGCCCGAGAGCGCTCCGAGAGAGCCCGAGACGGATTCTTCCCGACCAGAGAGGCTTGAAAACTGCCAGAAAGGTTCTTTAAAGGGCCCCCAAGAGGCAACAATCATCAACTTCTTGGCGTGAGACGTGCATTTTGAGCGTCTTCGCCTCTCCGGCTCTGACAGCGTCCGATGGCCCAAGAGGCCGCCGATACCGCCCCAAGACGGCCCAAGAGGCCCCCAGAAGAGCCCCAAAATGGCCCAAGAGGGCTCTGAGATGGCCCAAGAGAGCCCCAAAACGGCCAAAAAGGGCCCCAGAGGGTCTACAGGGGCCCCGAGAGGGCTAAAAGAGGGCCGTAGGAGGAACCCCCCTGGACGGCCGAAGGGTGCCCCCAGAGCGCTCCAAGACGGCGCCAGCCCCCCAGGACGGCCCAAGAGGGCCCCAGGACAGCCCAAGAGGGCCCACAGCCGGCCCAAAAGAGCCCCCAAAGGACCCCCCAGGAAGCCTAAAGGGCCCCCAACTTCCAGAATGCCCCCAAAAGGCTCCCAGGAAGCTTCCCAAGGCCCCAAGAGGCCCCCGATTCACGATTCATCTCAGGGCCTGAAGAGACCCCACAAACAAACGTCGCCAGGCCCCGAGGGGCACCACCAGCGCCCCGGACTCACGATCCAGCTCATGGGTGTGCCGACATTGGGGTACGATCCGTGTCAGAAGACAGTCGACATACGCATGGGACGTGACGTTACGCGAATCCTCCCGCCATGGCCGCACGTGAACTACATCCTTCTGGGACACGATCCGTGTGATGGGTGTGCCGAGACGGGCGGAACGACGCCGTGCGAACTGTGACAGTGGACCCGCAAGTGGAGCTCCCGGAGGGGCGCTATGCGAACCCTGACTTCCTACGGGGCCGTAGGATCATCGCTTACACTTCTTCTCACCTTTCCCACAGCTCACTTCTCCTCCTCCCCTCCTCACCCTGCTCCTTTTCCTTCTCCTCCTCCTCCTCCTCCTCCTTCTCCTCCTCCTCCTCCTCCTCCTCCTTCACCTCCTCCCATTCCTCCTCCCATTCCTCCTCCTCGTGCTCCTCCTTCTCCTCCTCCTCCTCCTCCTTCTCCTCCTCCTCCTCCTTCTCCTCCTCCTCCTCTTATTTTTTATCCAGCGACCTCGGCAACCAAAATCTGATGAGCAATTTCCCTTTAAGTTGATTCTTCCTTCTCCACATCCTCCTCGACATCTTCCTTCCCCTCCTCTCATCTTCCCCTTTCTCCCCCCCTCTCCATCACCGTCCTCCTTTTCTCATATTCTGCCTCGGCAGCCGCCATCTGCTTTTCCGCAGCGCCCGCGGGAACCAACATTCGATGGTCATCTAGCTTCCTTTGAGGAACGTGCGAGCTTTGTTCCTGGACCTGCAAGTAGAGCTCCCGGGGGGGGCACGATTCGTGTGAGGGTTGCGCCGAAATTGGCGGGGGGACGCTATGTGAACCCTGCTTTCATATGGGACCACAGGATATTCGCTTCTACTCCTTCTCAGCTTTCCCACAACCCACCTCCTCCCCTCCCCCATCCTCCTCCTCTTCCTACTCCTCCTTTTCCCCTTCCTTATCATCCTCCTCCTCCTCCTCCTCCTCCTCTTCCTCCTCCTTCTCCACCTCCTCCTCATCCTCCTCCTCCTTCCCTAATTCAGCATGGTGCTGCCGCTTCGCTCGCGCGGTTTACAATCTTGCGGCAATGGTGCTCTCGCCCATCCGTGGCCGCATCCTGATCCAAGATTGACGCAGCCACCCCGGCACTGACACCATTCTCCAATACGGGCGGTAGTGTCGCCTCAGAGGCTGCCACAGCCCTTATTGCAGATGATGCTGCCGGTCGCGCACAAGCCCCATTCCTGGATGGGATTGGCGCTCTCGCCCGAGCGCTGGCCCACCCCTGTCTTGGAGTCATGCTGCTGTCTGCGCGCTGGCCAAATCCTTCATGAAACGCGGCATTCATTCCGCAGCGCTAGCCACGCCCCTGGTTGACTATTTTGATGCCGCTCTACTCGCACGGTTCCCACAGCCCTCATGTGAGAATGGTGCCCCGCCCGAGCACCAGCCACATCCATTTCCAAGATTTGTGCTACCGCCCCAGCGCCGGCCGCATCCGTGTGTGAGACTGGTACTCTCGTCTGAGCCTCGGCTACATTCGTCTTTTGCGAGCGCCACCTCTAGCGCGAGACAACTGGCGACCGCATCTGCCGTCCCTTCGTGCTGGGCGAGTGCCGAACCTGGCGTTCGGTTTGGACGGAACGCGTCAGGTCTGTTGCCAATCGGGGCTGCGCCAGATTAGCCTCCCCAGCGTCAGGTTCGGGAATGGGTCGTAGCAACACTGCGTCTACATCCATATGCGAACCGCAGAGTCAATAAACCATGTAGGTGCAAGGATCAAGATTAGAAGGCGAAGCGCAGCGAGCCTTACAATCTTGTGTATATATACACAAATGTATATGTATATACGCGCTTGGGTCCAGGGTTTCCAGAGCTGGACGTGTGGATACAGCCCACAGCTCCCAGGCTTCGAGGACGGCGAGCCTGCGACGACTTGCAGAGCCTACTTCTATTTCTGCAGATCCGATCGACGCTGGGAAATTGCACACCCCCGCTGGGGCTCACTCGGCTTCAGCCGTCCGTCGAATTCTGCGCCCAGACCGGTTTCCCAGAGATTTGACCTGCAGGGGGACGGTTCACATGTGGTTTTCCAGCGGGAGGATGACGAGGCTTGCTTTCTGTTCTTCGACAGGTCTCAGAGGAGGGTAATGTAGGAGGAAGGGCTGCACGCAGCAATCTAACCCCAGGTACCAGTGACCTCTGGTGCGCGGCTAGCCGATCGCTAAATGCGATACGACAGCAGGCGTCGAGGACGAGGAGGATGACGGCGGCAACAATGACCACCACCGCCACGCCGACGACGCTGGCGGCACACCCTGCTGCCCGCTGCGCCCGCCGCCTGGCTGCTTTCGCCGCGCGGCGCCTTGCCTCGGCCGCCGCCGCCGCCGCCGTCGTCGTCGACGTCGCTGTCGTCGCCGTCGTCGTCGTCGTCGTCGTCGTCGTCGTCGTCGTCGTCGTCGTCGTCGTCGTCGCCGCCGCCGCCGCCGCCGCCGCCGCCGCCGCCGCCGCCAACGTCGGCGTCGGCGTCGGCGGCGCCGCCTGACGGCGTCCGCAGCGCGGCCCCCTCGCGCGGCGTAGGACGCCGAGCTCTCCAGGCGCATCGCGGAGGCCGAGCTGGCGCGGGCGGAGCAGAGGGGCACGAAGGAGGAGCTGGAGAAGGCCAGGCGTCCGCCGCCGGGGCAGGGCTGGACCTAAACGATGTCTTGGCGGTTTCGTGGGCCGTTTTCGTTTCGACCTCGTTTTGCGGCAAGGGCGGATCGAAGACAAAACGAGGGAAAACGAAGACGAAACGAAGACGAAGAACACCGTTTAGGTTCCGCCCTGCGCCAGGGTGTTGCCCATGCCACGGGCCGTGTCGGCAAAAGAGGGGCCTCGCCTGCGAGGCGCCGGAGGCGTTGACGTCCCTCTTCTCCGCGGAGGGAGGGCGGGAGGCCGGCGGGAGGCCGGCGGGAGGCCGGCGGGAGCGAGGGGGGTGGGGCGGCTCCGCCGGCGGAAGCCGAAGCGTTTTTTTTTCCCCCCGCGGGCGGTGGGGTTTGGGACGTATCACGTGCTCGATCGAAGACGCGGCGAGGGCTCCAGGATCGAACACGCGAGACGTAGGCTGCTCCTCCTGGTCTTTGCGTGTCGCCATGGTGAGGGGACATGGGGGCCCTGAGGGGAGCGCGTCCTGCGAAATTGTAGGCTTCCGCCGCCTGCGGCCTCGTGGTGCCCTCCCCGGGCCCCCGGGGCCGGCAGGGAGCGGCTGGGGACGACGAGCTGGTCCTGGGGGAAGAGCCCGGGATCCAGCACCCGTTCGCCTCGGGACCCGTCGCCTTCACTCGGGAGGAGAAGAAACACACAGACACAATGACTCGTCGATTCCCCAGGAAGTATGGGAAAATATGGGCAGTGGGGGGGAAAACATAAACCCAGAAAATATGGGAAAATATTGGGAATCCTTTTATTTGTGTGTATTTATTTGTGCGTGTCCCAGGGCCCCTTCATTCATGTCTGGCGTCCTCTGTCTCTTTTTCGTCCTCTTCTTCCTAATTGTGTATGCAGCTCTCCTTTTCCGATGCGCCCAACACAGTGAGGTCTTTTTGAGAGTTTGAGGTCCGCTATGGCACGCGTCTGTGGGCAGAGAGATCATCCGCGCACTCTGAGGGGATGGGTGGGAGGGATGTGATGTCAGACATGGCGCGAGCGCACCTTGCTTTCCTTTCTCCCCTCTGCCTATCCCCTCCTCCCCGTCTCTCACCCTCTCTCCTCTCTAGATAACCAGTGGTGCAAGAATCGGCCACGTGCGTTGCGGTATTGCTTTCTACTGGAGGGATCATGGCCGATGGAGGGGAGAGAGATGGGGCTCAGGAGGGTTCTCAAACGGGTGCTGATGCTGATGCTGCTGATGCTGATGCTGTTGATGATGCTGATGACGACGACGATGCTGATGACGACGAGGATGCTGATGATGACGATGATAATGATGATGACGATGACGATGCTGATGCTGCTGCTGATGATGATGACGATGATGATGCTGATGGTGCTGATGATGCTGTTGATGATGTTGATGACGTGAATGATGATGATGATGATGATGATGATGATGATGATGATGATGATGATGATGATGATGATGATGATGATGATGATGATGAATATGCTGATGATGATGATGATGATGTTGCTGCTGCTTTGGATGATGCTGCTGCTGCTGATGATGATGATGATGATGATGACGATGCTGATCATGAAAGTTATGCCGATGATTAGGACGACGATGATGACGATGATGGCGACTCTGATGACGATGCTGGTAATGCTGACGTGCTGGCGATGCTAATTGTATGATGACGGTCTTGTCAATGACGATGCTGCTGATGATGCTGATGCTGCTGATGCTGATGTTGCTGGTGCTGCTGCTGATGAAGATCATGATGATGATGATGATGCGGCTGCTACTTATGATGATGCTGATGCTGATGAGGATGATGAGGATGTTGCTGAATCTGCTGACGATGCCTATGCTGCTGCTGATGATGATGATGATGTTGCTGCTGCTTTGGATGATGATGATGATGATGATGATGATGATGATGATAATAATGATGATGCTGCTGCTGCTGCTGATGATGCCGATGCTGATCATGATGGTTATGCTGATGATGAGGACGACGATTATGACGATAATGGTGACTCTGATGACAATGCTGGTAATGCTGATGTGCTGGCGATGATAATTGTATGATGGCATGTTTGACGATGGCGATGCTGCTGATGCTGCTGATGATGCTGACGATGCTGATGCTGATGCTGCTGATGCTGCTGATGCTGGTGAAGATGCTGATGATGATGCTGCTGCTGCTCTGGATGATGCTGATGCTGATGACGATGATGATGATGATGCTGCTGATGCTGATGATGATGATGATGCTGCTGCTCATGATTTTGCTGATGATGATGCTGATGCTGCTGCTGCTTATGATGATGGTGCTGATGAAGATGATGCTGCTGATGATCCTGGTGATGACGATGATGATGAGGCTGGTGATGCTGATGGTGATGACGATGCTGATGATGATGGTGGTCATGGTGGTGATGCTGATGGTAATGCTGGTGATGCTGGTCTTGCTGCTGCTTCTGATGATGATGCTGAGGATGATGATGATGATGCATATGCTGATGATGATGCTGATGATGATGATGATGATGATGATGATGATGTTGCTGCCGCTGATGATGATGATGATGATGTTGAGGATGTTGACAGTGGTGATGATGCGGATGGTGGTGGTGCTGCTGTTGACGATGATGCTGATGCTGCCGATCATGCTGATGCTGATGCTGACGATGATGCTGCTGATCATGCTGTTGGTGGTGGTGCTGATGATGATGACGATGATGGTCTGCTGCTGATGATGATGCTGATCATGCTGATGCTGATGCTGCTGCTGATGATGGTGCTGCCGGTTGCTGCTGATGAAGATGCTGCTGAGGACGATGATGCTGGTGAGGATGATAATGATGACGGTGATGCTGCTGATGATGATGATGATGCTGATGATGATGATGATGATGATGATGATGATGATGGTGATGGTGATTCTGATGATGATGATGCTGATGCTGATGATGATACTGATGCTGATTATAATGATGATGGTCATGGTGATGGTGATGGTGATGGTGATGGTGATGATGATGAGGATGAGGAGGATGATGATCATGATGATGATGATGATGGTGATGCTCATGATGGTGATGATGATGATGATGATGATGATGATGATGCTGATGATGATGATGATGATGAGGATGATGATGAGGATGATGATGATGATGATGATGATGATGATGATGATGATGACGATGATGATGAGGGAAAGGAGGAAGAGGAGGTGGAGGAGGAGAGGCAGGAGGAGGAGGAGGAGGACGAGAAGGAATAGGAGTAGGGTGAGGAGGAGGAATAATATTATGAAGAAGAGGAGCTGGGGGAGGAGGAGGAAGCAGAGGAGCTGGGGGAGGAGGAGAGAGGATGAGGAGGAGGAGGAGGAGGAGGAGGAGGAGGAGGAGGAGGAGAAAGAGGAGCAGGAGAGGAGGAGGAGGAGGAGGAGGAGGAGGAGGGAGGAGGAGGAGGAGGAGGAGAAGAAGGAGAAGGAGAAGAAAGGAGAGGAGGAGGAGGAGGGAGGAGGAGAGGAGGGAGGAGGAGGAGGAGGAGGAGGAGGAGAGGTTGAGAAGTCTTTGACCTGTATGGCCTCCGATGTCGTGTCTCTTTCATAACGTGTGCGCCTGGATATCTGGATGTCTTCCTGGGCACCGTCTTTCTGCACCGAGTCGTTTTTCGGCGGTTTTGGGGCCCAGTGAGGGCCCCTGGAGGCAGAGGATACGCAACACTCTTTCGTGGTGATTTCCCCACGACGAGAGGACGTCAGGGAACCAGGGGTGCAGCGAGGAGGAGGAGGCAGAAGAGGAGGAGGAGGTGGAGGAGGTGGAGGAGGAGGAGGAGGAGGAGAAGAAGGAGGAGGAGGAGGAGGAGAAGGAGGAGGAGGAGGAGGAGGAGGAGAAGAAGGAGGAGGAGGAGGAGGAGGAGGAGGTGCTGAGATGTTGGGATCGCCCGGCCTCCTGGAGGCCGCCTCCCCCACCCGCGCGCGCGCGATCGCCTGGGTCAGGCCCAGCGCGAGCGCCTGGAGCGGGAGGAGGAGCTGAAGAGGGAGAAGGCCGAGAAGGCCGCGGCCGAGCAGGACGGAGGGCCGCACCCCCACCCCAGCCTGCGCGAGAGCTGAACTCTATGGGAGTGGGATGAGGAATTTGGCTGTTTGACTATTTTGTTTGTTGTTGTTTTTTCGTCGTTGTCGTTGCTGGTTCCTTCGAAGGGTTCGGAAGCAACTGGCGTTGGACCCCTTCGATCCTCCCTGGCTTTCTCGCCTGGGCGCGCCGGCTGCGTTCCCTTTGAAAACGGGGCTCACGCTCGAGCGTTTTGGGGTTGCGCCGAACTCGTCCCCAACACTAACACCACCACTAACAACACCAACAACAGCACCACCACCACCAACAACAATCATTTCAAAACTGTTCGCTCTTACCTGCTCGCGTACCATTCAACACGTCTACCCCAAACTATACCCGCCCTCTTCGTCTTCGATCGTGCCCCCTCAGGGGTATATGCTTTTTTCCCTGCAACGTGTATGTCGTGCAGCCCCTGAGGCAGAGGAAGAGAGGACGGATGGAAGGAAGGGGCAAGGGGGGGGGATGAGGATGGAGCGCAGGTAAGAGTACCAGGAGGAGTGCAAGGAGCAGAAAGCACGAGGCAGAACCAGACGGACCGACAGGGCGGGTAGACACTAGCGGGCATGTCGGGAAAGCGGGCCCAGGCGGCCAGGTCGAGCAGGCGGGTTGTTGAAGCGTGCGTCCGGCATGAACCGCAAGGAGTTCTCAAGCGATAGCGTAATTCCCAAATAGATCGTAAAACAATCCGCAGCGAGAGCGTGATTCCTGAGTTTCGAGGGCGCGGCGTCTGAATACATTGCGAGAAAGTCCCGCGCGAGAGCGCGATTCGAAATTGTGAGGACGTCCCGCGCGAGAAGTATCAGGCGGAAGCCGCTGTTGTTGTAACCTGGGGGCCAGGGGTACATTTTGGTGACCCTTCATTTCCCTTTGTAAGTTAGCCTGACGAAATACGCAACCATATGCAGTTGTGAGTATCGTACTTGTGAGTAGCATCTCCGGTGCAGCTCCCTACGGGGCGTGAGGGGTGCGCTGAAACGGGGTGTCGCCCACCTGCGGGCGGTGCCACTGGGGCCTTCGGTGGAGCTTCCGATGGGGCCACGAAGCGTGTGATGGGTGTGACTAAACGGGGTGTCGCCTGCATGCGGTCGGTGCCACTGGGGCCTTCGGTGGAGTTTCCCTATGGGGCCACGCAACGCGTGAGGGGTGTGCCGAAACGGGGTGTCGCCCACATGAGGGCGGTGCCACTGGGGCCGTACGTGGAGCTCCCTATGAGGCCACGAACGGTGTGAGGGTGTGCCGAAATTGGTGGCGCGGACGCATGCGAACATTGCCAGTGGGGCCTTCGGTGGAGCTCCCCCCTATGGGGCCACGAACCGCGTGAGGAGTGTGCCGAAAGTGGTGGCACAAACGCATGGGGACGTCGCTACTGGGGCCTTAGGTGGAGCTCCCCTATGGGGCCAGGAATCGTGTGAGGGGTGCGCCCAAATAGGTGGCGCGGACGCATGGGAACGTCGCCGCTGATGCCTGTTGTGGAGCTCCCTATGGGGCCACGAACCGTGTGAGGGGTGTGCCGAAATTGGTGGCGCAGACGCATGGGAACGTCACCACTGGGGCCCTAGGTGGTGGAGCTTCCCTACAGGGCTACGAACCGTGTGAGAGGTGTGCCGAAATTGGTGGCGCCAACACATGGGCACGTCGCCATTGGGCCTTAGGTGGAGCTCCTTATAGGGCCACGAACCATGTGAGGGGTGTGCCGAAATGGTTGGTGTGGACGCATGGGAACGCTGCCAGTGGGGCCTTCGGTGGAGCTCCCTATTGGGGCCACGAACCGTGTGAAGAGTGTGCCGACATCGGTCGTACGGACGTACGGGAATGTCGCCAGTGGCACCTTCGGTGGAGTTCCGTATGGGTGTGCCGACATGGGTGGCGCGGACGCATGGGAACGTCGCCAGTGGGGCCTTCGGTGGAGCTCCCCTATGGGGCCACGAGCTGTGTGAGGGGTGTGCCACAAAGGGTGGCGCGGACGCACGGGAACGTCGCAATTTGGGCCTTAGGTGGAGCTCCTTGTGGGGTCACGAACCGTGTGAGGGGTGTGCCGAAATTCGTGTCGATGGTGGTGAAGATGGCGGAGACGATGAATCCGTTGATGGTGATGATGTCGATGATGACGATGGTGATGGTGATGATGGTGATGATGACGATGGTGATGGTCATGATGATGATGACGATGATGGGAGGAGGGAGGTGGGGGAGGAGGAGGAGAGGAGGAAGGACGGAATGCGGGGTGCTGTCTCTTCACAGCGAGGACCCAGCACAACAGGATGGTTGGGAAAAACAGGGTGCGAGTCCCGGAAGAAGCACATACATTGAACAAAAACACTTGTTACTGGAGGGGGGATCACCAACACCAGCACTGGCTACCGAAAGACGCCAACACCACCACCAACAACCAACACTAACCAACAACATAAGCAGCAACAATAACAACAACCAACAACAGCAACAACACCACCACCAACAACAACAGCAACGACAACACACTACACTAACAACACGAACAAGACTAACAACATCAACAACACCAACAACAATACCATCATCAACAACAGCGACAACAACATCAGCAACTCTTACATAAACACCACCAACAACAACATCAGCAACAACAGCAGCACCAACAACTACAACAACAACGCTTCAGTTCGAGACTTCCTCATTTTTCAATCCGGTGCTCTCGCCCTGGCCCCTAGCCATGGCCCTGAGGCCCCCCCAAGAGCTTTTGGCCGCGCTGGCGATTTCGTCGTCGTCGTCGTCGCCGTCGTCGTCGTCGCCGTCGTCATCGTCGTCGTTGCCGTCGTCGTCGTCGTTGTCGTCATCGTCGTCGGCGTCGGCGTCGGCGTCGGCGTCAGCCTCGTCAGCGTCGTCGGCGTCGTCGTCGTCGTTGTTGTCGTCGTCGTCGTCGTCGTCGTCGGCGTCGGCGTCGGCGTCGGTGTCGTCGTCGGCGTCGTCGTCAAGCCGTCGTCATCGGTGTCGTTGTCGTCGTCGTTGTCGTCGGCGACGTCGGCGTCGGCGTCGGCGTCGGCGTCGGCGTCGGCGTCGGCGTCGGCGTCAGGGTCGGCGACAGCGTCGGCGACAGCGTCGGCGACAGCGTCGGCGACAGCGTCGTCGGCGTCGTCGTCGTCTTGTCGTCGTCGTGGTCGTCGTCGTCGTCGGCGTCGGCGTCGGCGTCGGCGTCGGGGTCGGCGTCGGCGTCGGCGTCGGTGTCGGCGTCGTCGTCAGCGTCCTCGTCGTCGTCGTCGCGCACTCGTCCACTCAGGATCGCGTCTCGGGGACTCCGAGATTTCTGGACATGTATTTGTTTTTTGTAAACTTCGGAGGGCTCTCGGAAGAGCCCCCGGATGTCCAGAAGTCTGAGCGGGGAGGCGCCCCCCCCGCCGCCGCAGGTGGTATGGGGGGTCCTCACTCCTCCGTACTTTTGGGCTCAAGCACCGCCCCCCCCCCCCCAGGGAGGGTGGGGGGGTGGGCGATTTCGCTTCGCTTGGGGGGAACCGCAGGGCGAAGGCGCATTGCATCCGACCCTGTGGGTCGGCGGCGACCTGGGCGATTTGGAGCTCAACCCCTGTTTTCGTCGTTCGGGTCACTCGTCTCTCTTCCTGTGTGCATCCGCTGAACTCCGTATGTGTGTACTGGCTCGCCTCTCAAGTCTAACCTGTACTTGAATCGTTTCCCTGAGAAGCGAGATAGTCGCCATCAGTCGAAGTGGGATCGTGTTCTGTCTGGTACCCACCCCCAGTACGGAACATATCTCAGTGTGTTTTACATTTCCATTGGCAGCGGGCCATAGGCAGACACTGACATGCCATAGTAGTTCAAGAGCTCTTGTGCCAGCGAGCTCCGCCCTGTCGTCCAGTCTTTCCGTCAAGAGGATGAGGAGACGCGATGTCCGTCGAATGTCCGTAGGTTGTGTGCCGCCGCTGGTGCCCCACCTTTCCTGCGAGTCAGGTTTTTGTCGTGCAGAGGCTGAAGATTCGGACAGGTCTGATTGATCACGGCGGGTCTCTGGGAAGGTTCATCTTCACTGAACCTTGCATATCCGCCACTTGAGCAGGATTCGACGTCGCTGCGGTGTGTTCTGTTCTTTCAGCCCTGCCTTGAATAGCCGGGCCTTTTTCCAGCCGTCAACTGTGCTAACTCATGCAGCTTGAGCTCCCCTGGCAAACACATCAAGGCCTAGGTCCGCTCCGCGGCCGCCGAGGTTATAAGAGGTGGAGGAGGAGGAGGAGGAGGAGGAGGAGGAGGAGGAGGAGGAGGAGGAGGAACAACAAAACAAGTACACTGAAGAAGAGGAGGAGGAGGAGGAGGAGGAAGAGAGGAGGGAGGAGGAGGAGACGGAGGAGGAGGAGGAGGAGGAGGAGGAGGAGGAGGGAACATGATAGGGGCAAGAGCAGCAACAGGATGAGCAGGAGGAAGTAGGATGAAGGAGGACCCCCCCCTCCCTCCCCTGCCCCCCTCGCCCACAGGAGATGCAGCGCAAGCTTGAGGAGCTGCGCCAGAAGAAGGACCACCCCCCAGGGCCGCTGCTCTTGTCGGCGGCGCACCGAGGGTGGAAGCGAGAGAAGTGAGACATGACCTCTGTGCTTTTTGATAAAGGCCCGCTTTCTCTCCCTCTCCTCCTCCTCCTCCTCCTCCTCCTCCTCCTCCTCCTCCTCCTCCTCCTCCTCCTCCTCCTCCTCCTAGCGCCAGCTCGGATCGAGCATCCGCTCACGCCCGAGCCAGCGCCGCGTGAGCCTCTCTCTCCCCCTCCGCGGGCCCGCGCCTCTCTCCCCTCGTCCTCCGATATGGGAGCCGGCCGCCCGCGGGGCCCGCCGCAGGCCCAACCGGTCCGCCGCCGGGCGCCGGGCGCAGTACCTCCGGGCTGAGGCCCGGGTGGTGGCACGCCTCCTGGACGCCTTCGCGGAGGTCGCTGGCCATCGCGGCTCGGCCGCGACCAGGTTGGGCGCGGCTTTGGCGTCGGCGCTCGCGGAGCCAGGCGGCCGTGGCGACGGCAGCGCCGATGACGCTCATAGAGGAGCTGGCCCCCCTCGGCTCGACGGCGCCGCCGCTGATGCGGCCGATGTCGAGGCTGAGCTGGAGCGGCTCCGCGACGCGGCCGCGGTCGAGGCCGAGCTGGAGGAGCTCCGCACCGCGGCCGCGTCGGAGGCGGGCGATGCGGCCCCGCGCGCGGCGGCGGCGACGGCCGCCCCGCCTGCCTTTGGGGGTCCGCCCGCCCCGAGGCGAGGAGCTTCGGACAACGACGATGGAGGAGATGGAGCGGACGGCGGCGGCGCGGCGCCGAGAGCTCGGGGGCCCGCCCGCGCGGCTCCGCTGGCTCGCGCGCAGCCCAGGCCGCCATCGGAGCCTGCAGCTGTCGCGGCGACGGCCGCGCTGAAGCTGCACAGGCGCAAGGCAATGGCGACCGCAGCGAGGCTGCGCGAGCAGCAGGAGCTCACCGCCGCGGAGAAGCTCTCCGCCGACTTGGCGTTGCAGTACGCCGCCGCCGTGGAGGAGCTCGCCAGCGCGGAGGCCGCGATGGCGTCGGCAGGGCTCCCCGTTCCCGATCGACCTCCTTGATTTTGGTACGCCGTCGTCGTGCTGGGCACGGTTTTTCTTACCGTCGGCGGCCGCCCCTTCGGGGGGTCTGGGCCGTTCGCCGCCCTACCCCTCGGCGAGAGCTCCTAATGGGGAGCAGCTGGGCGCGCTGGAGCGCCCAGCCGTTTTTCCTCGGCTTCGGCTTCATGGGGCTCCTGCTCTCCGCGTTCGTCGTCGCCGACGCCTTCTCGGTCGCGCCGCTGTGCGCCGCCCTCCGCCCTCGCAGGCGGCTGAGGGGCACGGGCCGCGCGAGGCCCCTTCCGAGGGATCTTGGTGACTCCTGACTCCTGACTCCTCCTCCTCCTCCTCTTCGTATTCCGCCCCTGGGCGCGCCGCTGCCCTGGGGCCCCCCGCCCCCCGCGCGCGCTCGCGTGTGGGGGGGCGGGGGGCTGGAAGGAGGGCCGAGGAGAGGGGCACAGCAGAGCCACCCGTCGGGGACCTCAGGCTGGGCGAGGGAACGGGGGGGGACAGCAGGGAGGAACGGCGAGGAGGATGAGGAGGAGGAGGAGGAGGAGGAGGAGGAGGCGGAGGAGGAGGAGGAGGAGGCGGAAGAGAAGCAGGAGGACAAGGAGGTGAATTTCGTTGGATTCTGCTGCTAAGCCAGCAGGGCTTCGACAACGAATAGCTATGGCGAGCGAAGCCTACCCTGCCCCGCGGCCTCTCCTGGGCGACGAGTTTCAGCTTTGAGAGCCCCGCTTGAGGCGGGAACCAACCTGGGCCCTTTCCGCATGACAGCTGACGGCGTGTGCCCCCGGCTATCGCACGAGCGAGCCCCAGCGTTGTAGCTGATGATGTCTCGTTCCTGCTGTCCGTCGGGCACCGGGCACTGGTGCCACTGCACCCCAGCGTTGCAGCTGCTGACGTTCAGCTCATGGCTCCCGTGTCGGGCCCTGGGCGCCGCTGCCGCTGCTGCCTCTTCGCGCCCACACGCCGGGCAGCCGCTGCCTGCCGTCTCGCGGGAGCTGACCTGACGATGCGCGCTCCAGGTTTGACCTCGGGCGCCAACCGCTGCCGCCTTTGCCTGCCTTCTCTCACCGCCAGCGCCTGTTGCCCCTGTCTGCCTCCCCAAGACCGTAGCTGAGGATGATCTGCTCCTGCTCCATGCGCCACTCCAGCGCTCTAGCGGATGGCGTCTGGGTGCGGTGCCCACATGCGTGACCCGCCCCCCGCTGTCTTGCACGAGCTGGTCCCAGCGCTAACGCTGATGATGTTTTGCTCCTGCGTCGCTCTCGGCAAATGGAAGACGCTGCTGCCACTGCCAGATTTCGCACGCCGGCAGTCCGAGCTGCCAGCGCCTGCGCCTGCCTTCCAAGGAGGAAGGGGGAAAAGGAATGTTTTTTTTCGCGTGTGCTGTCTCTCCGTGTCGTGTTCGGATTTTGCGACCTGGAGTTTGCGCCAGGAGGAGCAGGAGGAGGAGCAGGAGGAGACGGC